CAATATAAATATATATATATATATATATATATTGTCGTTCTACAAGAAATTGAATTCCAATATCTAACTATTTCTTTAAATACCAGTTTTATAGTTAATATAAAATTTGTATCAAAATTAGTTTTCACTATATAACTCCACAGAGTCAAATTTAGCACTTTGATGACAAATTCATATTAGGTCTATGTTATTAAGTTGTTACACGTAGGGAACCAATCCCATAAATTTAAACTTCTGGTAACTTGTTTTAGGTAATTCTTTAATTAATATATTAGTTATGTGTCCTCCATATATTATAAAAATTATTGTAATATAAACTGATTCACAATTTTCCATTGCTTTTTAAATTATAATATCTTTATGTTCGTGCTGCAAAGATAATTGTGTCAATACATATATTTTTTTTGTTCATTACAATATGCAAAAAAAAAACTCCTCTAAACATATTTCTATATTTTTATTTCCAAAACAAAGATACTACATTAAATTTGCTGATTATAAATCTTATATTATGATAACAGGAGTGATGGGGAATGTGGAGCAAATCAGAAGCAACCGATGCATCGAATTTCCAATTAAATCAAAAACTGGTTTGTGTGTTCTCAAAGATTGTGAGTCTTTTTGTAAGAAGAAGGGTAAAGGATTAGAGGGTATGTGCCCAACGTTTGCCAAACAAAAAGACCCTAAACATTGCTACTGTTGTGGTCCATGGCCTCCACTTTAATAATGTAGTTACTAAATTATTTACAAAAATAATTCATATCTCATTTTTTTTTTGTCATGTATTTTTCATATCTCATTTATGATAAGATTTTTATAATAAAGTAATGAAATATAGTTGGTCCCAAAAGAAAAGTAATGAAATATAGTTATGGGGTTTGTGGCTTATAGTTTTGTACTTGTTCTCACTAACACCCACAAAGAAAAGAAAAAAAATTTGAACAAGCATCAAAAGATATACAGTAATGTGATTTCAGATTAAGAGGGAGATGAATTTGGCCATGAATGTTTAGTAGTTTTTAAATAGGTTTTAGCTTTTAGTTTTTTGGTTTTTGGCTTTTGGTTTTTGGTTTTTGATTTTTTCTGTAGATTTTAGTTTTTGCAAAATACCCATAGAATAGGATTTTTATTTTTTTTTAAAAACAAGATAAATTTACAAGGAATATTAAAAGGGTTTTAAAGGGATTTTACAAGGGGTTTTAAAAGAATTTTATAAAGATTTTTAAAGGGGTTTTACAAAGATTTCAAAAATATTTACAAAGAATTTAAAAGAATTTTATAAGGGCTTTAAAACATTTACTACGTTTTAAAGATATTTTCTAAGAAATTGCGTGGTAGAAAATTTTTTGCGGGACATTTTTTTAGGAAATTTTGGCGGAATATTTTTTTGGAAGAAATATTCACTTCCTTATCACGGACTCTCACTAAAATGAGGATAATTTAGTTATTTTGTACATAAAATACAGAATTTTCACAAAAAAGGTTATGGAAAAATGTATTTTTGCAAATCCCCCTAGTTTTATGAGTTTCTGGGAGTTGGTAATATTTAATTTTTTCCATTTCGAGATCGAACTTCTACAGTTTCGAATTTTGCGTGGAAAAACGCCTCCTCTGCTTCGCATCGGGAAAGACCATCCTTCTTTAACGGAATCTTTGAAACCAGGTTTCCCGATCCATCGTTTATCAAACATAAACCTTTTAAAAAACTTTTTGGGGGAATTACTAATTGAGGCTAGCATAGGCCTATGGTCGGATCCCACATTTTTAAGTACTCCACACTCGTGTGGGAAAAAATATTGTGCCACTCTTCATTCCCAAGTGCTCTGTCAAGACGGGAGCGAATGAGTCCGCACTTCCGTCGGCCTGCCCAAGAAAAGGAATTTCCTTGGAAGGGGAATTCAATCATTCCGCAATTATCAATCATTGCCCGGAAAGGTAAAAAGGAGGATTCAGAACGTTTTTTCCCTCCTATCTTTTCATGGTTCCCAGTTATTTCGTTAAAGTCTCCAATCATGAACCAAGATTCAGAGCGGGAGAGGCCAATCCGGGTCAATCTCTCCCAAACATTTTCTCAGTTTTTTACAACCGGATCACCATACACAAAGGATATAAAAACTCTATTCCCATCAATAATTGTTTCAATATCTAGAATACGATCACTAGCATACAACATTTTAAATGAGAAATCCCGAGAATACATGATAGCAAGTCCTCCACTATATCCTGAAGGATCCACAGTGTAAAGGCAATCAAAACTTAATTTAATTTGAAGTTCTTCCAAAAACAATCTATCATTTTTTGTTTCGGAAAGGAAAAGGAAACCTGGAGAGAATTTACGACACAATTCCTCCAGTCGGCGTTTTGTAATTTTCGCTCCCGCCCCTTGACAATTCCAAGCAATGATCCTCATGGTTAAGCCTCGGGAGGGTGAGAAAGACCCTCAAGAGTATCGTGGGAATCTGGGATTCTGGGAGAGTAAGATGGGAACACGGTAGAACGAGGAGTGGAGGTGACTTTCCTCGAGGAACGCGGCCTTGAAGGGCCGGATTTGGTTTGATGTCGCTTGCGGGGAGTGCTACCTTTGGTGAGTTGGATCTTCCGAGATGCGGAGTTAATATTCAGTGATGGGCTTATATAGGCTTTTCTTTCATTTGAATTTTCATCTCTTATACAATTCACCTAAGGAAAAAAAAAAGTTACAATTTCCCTTAAATCTAAAACTCTACAAGATGAAATATAGCCATATTTAGAGATTGTTATAAATTCTTAATAAAGAAAAAAAACAGTGAACTGTGTCCATCACATGATGTTTGTGGATAAAACAAAACATGATCCACTCTTCTCCTCTCAATCTTCATCCAACATTAATTATAAAAAAAAGCCCAAAAATTTAATAATTCCAACCCAAAAAAACATAAGAAATAATAAAGTCTTATCATTTTGCTCGAGTCAGAATCAAAAGAATCGTAATTATTATTATCTGTTTCTAACTTCATTCAGATAATGGAAGCTAGAAGGCTAGCGATCCTCTGTTCCCATCTCAACCCACCTGGTCCTAACCCGACCCGAGACCTGACTCTCAGGGTCTCCGATTGTAGCTCCGGTTCGTCCGGCGACGACGGGAAAGTGGAATCATCCAATCTCCAAAACGACTGCGTTTTCTGTAAGATTGTCCGTGGCGAGTCTCCATGTCTCAAGGTTTCAAAGTCTCTTCCTTTATTTCTCTCTTTCTTATATAGAGACAGAACTAAACACTAACTAAACTCTTTTGTTGCAGTTGTACGAGGATGATATGTGTTTGTGTATTTTGGATACTAACCCACTAAGCAATGGGTAATAATACTCAAATCTTGATCCTTTGAGATTGGTTTTGTCATATGCTCTGTTAGCTTCTATGTAGTTTTACTTGGTTTCTTGATTAGTTAGTGCAACTTGGTTAGAATCTTGATTAATGGATTGCATTTTTGTTACAAGTGTTTGTTATTGTCGAATTGAAAAGCTATGAACTTTGTTCTTTGGGTGTTTTAGGCACTCTCTTATCATTCCCAAGTTACATTATCCAACATTAGAGGAAACACCTCCCTCAGTAAGTTCCTCTTCCTACCATCTTTGTATGTTTTTGAGTAGTTGGTAGTTTCATTTGTATGTGTGTATGTCTCTTCTTGTTTGAAAGTTTTTTCTTTTAATGTAGAGAATTTGTATATGTGTATAAGATTTTGATTATAAGTCTCCTCCCAAGGAGAATGCAGGTAGTTGCTGCCATGTGTTCTAAAGTGCCTCTTATCAGTAACGCCATCGTGAAAGCTACTGAAAGTGGTATGTCTATTACCTTTCTCATTTCTGAATCCATCTCTGATACAGTGAGATTATAAAATCTGTCTTTAGATATGTATTAGTGCTGAAATTGCAAGAACCTTCGCATTTCGATAATGGAACTTTCCTTTAGGAACCCGATATCTCGATGATCTCAAACCCATTCCTCTGCTTATCTTATATAGATGGACTGCATAACCTATTTATACCATAGTTACTCTTATAACAAAGATTAGTTACTTTAAAAATGTACAAGCTTAGGAGTTCAAGATCTTATCTTTCCATCATTATTTATGCAACCACTGAGTACCTTACCACTTACTGTCACATTCTATAGTAATCTTGCCATTGTTTTTCTATACGGCATAACCATTTCAAGGTTGATGATTCTGATTCTAATTCTGATCAAAACTATTGTATCAGATTCATTTAACTTATTGGTTAACAACGGCGCAGCGGCTGGGCAAGTCATATTTCACGTAAGCACATACTGACTTCCCCAACTTCATATTTCCTGAGGAGGGAAGTTTCTACTAACAGTTCCTTTCTTTTTTGCATTTCAGACACACCTTCACATAATCCCGCGTAAGGAACACGATTGCTTATGGACGTCCGAGGTATAAAACAAGATCGAAACAATACATTGTGTAAGGTGTATGAAAGTTTCCTGACTTGATGTTTTTTTCTTGTTGTTTTGTTTGTGATGACAGAGCTTAAGGAGACACACACTGAAACTTGACAAGGAAGCATCTCAATTGGTATCGCGTGTTCGACAACAATTGTGCAGCCTTCCTGAAGAACAATTGGTTCAGCCCTCATAAAAAAAAGTATCTTATCAAGAGATCCCCCATTGTTGTAACTTTAGATACAGAATCCAAACACAAAGTATATTCTGTATAGTTCATATTCAGTCTCGTTTTTCTTTGTCCACGTTCTTGAATCTGTCGGTTAGTTTATCAAGATTTTTAGTTATAGAAAAAGAAGACATGGTTCAGTCTCATTCAAATCAGAGGCTTGCTAAGCTCATCTAATTTGTAACAGTCCTGCATATAGAAACTATCCAGTTTGAGATTTTAGGATTGTAAAGGAATCAGAGGCTTGTTAGGTTAATCTAATTAAGTCGAAAGACGATGACTTCAACCTTCTATGTTCCTTCTCCATCCCTCCATGGCCACAGACACAGACTACTCCAATCTGCTCACGATATATACTTACGAATGCCACCACTTCACCAGGATGCACGTTTTGAACCAGCACCACCTAAGAGATTGACATGTTATATAATTTGTAACACTCATAAGGTCATTAGTGTTTGGCAAACACAAGAGCAAGAGCTTGTGGCTGAAGTATTCGACCTGAGGGGAACAGACTCAAAATGGAGGAGCTTAGACATCTCCACTTCCGCCTCAGCTCTTCCTCTTGGCCATGTTTGATTTTCTTCTTCCACTGTGACCATTTGTGGATATGTTTACTGGACGCCCACTATAACCGATGTGAGTATTTAAGTTATAACTTGGGCTTTTATTTATTTTTCAAAAAATAGTACAATTAGGTATGAACTTGTAGCTGAAATGGTTTTTGCTAGAGGTGGTGATATCACGTCACAGAATCAAACTTGTATAAGGCATAATTTGTCCCCAAATAAATGTTGCCACCTTAAATCTTTTACATTAACAATAGCTAAAGTGGTAAAGATATGATGCAAAAGTCTAGTTGAAGGCGTCGCTTTGAGTGGTTCTTGGGCTGAAACTTTATTTCATGTTATGATCTCGGATCTGAGCGAATATACAATATAAACCCAAAACCTTTGAGTTAATAAAAAAAAAATCAATTAAAGATGTGCACTAAGTTAAGTATAATTTATGAAACTAAAAACAAATCTGTAATATTTTTAGAGTATTAAGTTCTTGCAAAAACTTACAGGGATCTGAAGCGGCTTGTACATGTGGTCTTGTATACTTTATGAGAGAGCATTGGTTGCAAAATGCAAACTATAAATTGGACAAAGCACATGGTCCTCGTTTTTAGCCTAGAGATGGAGACATTTGAGTAGTTTTCACATCCGGCTATCATTCAAAAGACTCTTGTCCAACTCTTCCGTCTCACTAGTCTTCGAGGGAACTTGGCCATAGTGGATTTTTCGTGCGAGGAGTTTGTATGGTTGTGGACACTAAGAGATAAGGCGAGAGCAGAATGATCGTTGGACTACATATTTGACACCAAAAAAAAAGAAAATGAAGTAGAGGACCACACTTTTGTTCTTAAAGCTGTCATTTCATGGCCAAACCCTTCCCCGAAATAATTATATTCTTATTTAGAGCTGGAGTTTTCATTGGTACCAACAGCGCTAGCATTTGGATAATTGATATATTCAAATTTAGGGTCAAAAGGATTTTCGTTGCTCCACAACACCTTGAAGATGTTGTCCCTATCTTCCATACATTGTTTTCCCAGAATCCGATGGACCTGCATGCGACTCTGCAAAAATGGAAGATAAGGTAAGTTTATGCTCGTCATTACCTTCTCATTTTGCAGAAAATTTAGTAGTGAATAATTTTTTTTGGTATGTATGTGCTTGGTATTCTTGAGTCATTTGAAGGGGCAATTATCTAGCATGCGCAAGGGAACATCTCTCTAAACTAAAAAGAGATGCTCAAGGGATCACTTTCTTCGTCTCTTCTTCCTCTTTTTTATTTTCTATTTTCTTATTTTGGACATGTTTGTTTGTGAAGACTGAAAATGTTGGGTCTTTCAATATGGTGACTGCATTAAAACCTTATCCAAGTATTGTAATACTGAGCTTGACCATGTGGGTCATATCTTAGTGCTTTCATTGTCTTTTGGTCGACAAGATAAATTGAAACATTAGATGGACCTCCTTCCTTACTAGATTTCTACAAAAAATAATTTCGGCTAATAACTCAGGATATATTATTTTTTTTAACTACCCAAATTTTCACTTTTTAATAGTATAATATTAATTATTATTTTAACAATCATTTATGATAAAAATATCTTTCAAATCGTTAATTATATAAGAACTGTCTGAAAATAAAATAATTATCTATAATTAAAACTCAAACTTATATTGTATAATTTTAAATAGTATAACAATTATTTATGATAACAACTTAGAATATTCACTTTTTATAGTAGAATAGTAATTATTATTTTAACAATTATTTTTAATAATTTTTTTCAAATCGTTAATTATATAAAATCTGTCTGAAAATAAAATTATTATCTATAATTAAAAATCAAACTTATATTGTATAATTATTTTAAAAAAAAACTGTTAAATTTTAGTTTGAATAAATAAGTCATTTTATATACTTAAATTTAAAATTATTAAAAGGAAAATAGAAATGTACTTTTCAAACTAAAACTCAAAAATGGAGCCGTTTTCACAGACATATATATATATATATATATATATATATTTATATATATTTTAGAGAAATCATCTCTAATAACCTTTTTATCATATACTTTTGCAAAACTACCTTTTAAAAAAAAACCGCAATTCTTCATTATTTGCCACTAAGAATATTTAAATGTCAATAATACCATGAATATTCAAGTTTATTCACCTAGATAACAAATTGATCTACTCTTTCCCTTTCAGAATTTTTGTTTACTTTATTTATTTGTGTCAAAATATGAGGATCACCTTGGAGTATACTCAATTGTTTCTTTAAGAATGTGTAATATAATATGAGGAACAAGCAAAAGACAATGTGTATAGTCGATTATTGAGATAATCATGCTTTCTAATCCTTTCTTTTATGCTTTTTTTTTTTTAATGATCTTGCATCACTCGTAAGACTTTTGTAATTTGATTGCATTTTGTTCTTAGAGTTAATAGGTTTTGTGAGAGAACTAACATGATATTGTATATTTGCACTTTTCAATATATTTTTTTCATGTCACCATGCATTATATATTTGTTGGTATCTAGTACTAACCAATTTACATTGTTTTAATTGGGATTTGTAGTCTAGGAACACTAATATTTGGTGCAACTGATAAAAGTTTTTTCTTTATCATATCCTCTTTTCCAGTCATGCCTAAATATAGCAAATTTTTTATTTAAGAGTCAAATAACAAATATTTTGGGATACAGACACAAGTCTAGCTTTAATTGCTAACAATAAAAGTCAAGTTGCATTTTTTACCAAGTCTAGCTTTCAATTGGAACCACAAAAAAGTAAGAGACATTTGTGGCTCCTTAAGTAGAGGAATCAGTTCATTCCCATTCCAATCCACAGATTTATGAAGAACCAATTTGGTGTTCACTCCAAGTGATACAGAAAAGATGATCAAAATGATTACAAAGCTAATGTCTCGGTTAATATGGAGAGGCAAAAATAATGGTCGTATACGTAGAAGCTTAATAGAGGAACTACCAACTGAGATTCTAATGGAGATTCTAATGAAATTACAAGGGAAACAAGCAATGATATGCCGTTGTGTCTCCAAAACGTTTCTTAATGTTATAGACTCTCATTGCTTCATAGAAAGACATCTTCATGATGATGATGGTGGTGAACCACCAGCGTTGCTCACTTTTGGAACTCATGGTGGAGAGATGTTTTATAAGATGTGGATGTGTAACACAAGGCTGGCCGAAGAGAATGATGAAGCAAATGTGTTGAGGGTTGAAGATAGATACCTTTGGGATTATCCTTGCTTACAAATGCAATCTTATTTTCACCCTGTAAGCTCCAACGGACTAATTCTAGCTAGATGTGGCTCGGCTTCTCCGTATGTCTTCAACCCTATAAGAAAAGAGGTTATGAAGATACCAGAACAGGAAGACGAAAGTTCATGGAAACAGCCTCTAGGATTCGGATATGATCCCAAAGGAAAGACTCACAAGGTCATTAGTGTTTGGCAAACACAAGAGCAAGAGCTTGTGGCTGAAGTATTCGACCTGAGGGGAGCATACTCAAAATGGAGGAGCTTAGACATCTCCACTTCCGCCTCAGTTCTTCCTCTCGGCAATGTTTGTTTTTCTTCTTCCACTGTGACCATTAGTGGATATGTTTACTGGACGGCCACTATAAGCGATGTGAGTGTCTAACAGTCTAAGTAATAACTTGGGCCTTTATATATCATCACTTATAATATGTTGGTCCGAGACACTCACTGTTAGTCTAGAAGCAGTCGGTTTGAGTGTTTCTTGGGCCGAGACTTTATATCATGTTATGATCTCGGGATCTGAGGGAATATACCTTATAAACCCAAAACCTCTGAGTTTATCAAAAATAATTAAATTAAAGTTGTCACTAAGTTAAGTATGATTTATGAAACTGAAAAATCTATAATTGTTTTAAAGTATTAAGTTCTTGCAAAAAAATTACAGGGATACGAAGCGGCTTGTACATGTGGTCTTCTATACTTTATGAGAGAGCATTGGTTGAAAACTATGAATTGGACGAAGCACATGGTCCTATGTTTCAGCCTAGAGATGGAGACATTTGAGTGGCTTACACATCCGGCTATTATCCAGAAGACTCTTGTCCAACTCTTCCGTCTCACTAATCTTCGAGAGAACTTGGCCATAGTGGATTTTTCGTCCGATGAGTATGTAGGGTTGTGGACACTAAGAGATAAGGCGAGAGGAGAATGGTCTTTGGACTACAAATTTGACACCATCGTGTTAAGAGACAAAGTGAAAGGCTTCTGCCGTGGCCATGACTCGAGTACAAACATATTACATGTGGTTGGTGCATGGAAGGAAGGGTTACTTATAAGGATTTGGAATTCTAACGTTTGTATTTACTTGAACCTCAAGACACAACGTATGGAGTATATTGGGTTTGAGAATGAGGTTCAAGAATTGATAACTAAGGATTTCATCGTGAGTTACACTCCGAATTATCTACTTCGTCTCAAGAGTTACTATGACCGATCAAGAGTCATATGTGCTCATCCTAATGCTGGTGCACGTCTTCGAGGACGTATCCATTTAATGCTTACGCCTGGTGATGATCTTGGTTATGAGGTTAGTTATTTTGCTGATAGCTTCTACTCTTCATTAGATGACCTTATTGGTTTTAGGTCGTATAAGGAAAACCGTGTTAAAAAAGATACTCGACGTGAGGAGATTGTAAAAGCCAAAGGTAAACCTGAATGGGTTTTTGTTTAGGATACGAATCATTATTACATTGAAACAAATGTTATTGAAAAACGACTTTTGATTGGAGAAAGAAAATGATCATTACATGTGTTGATCAGTTGATAAGATTTCTACAAATGAAAAAGTTAATTTCAATTAGAATTTTCTTTTTACATATTTGACCATAAAAAGGAAAATTACAAATCGTGAAAAAAAAAACATAGATGATAAAGTATATAATTAAAGAGAAGTATATACTACAACCAGAAACAAGAAAAATATATATAGAATGAAATATATCTTACTATATAGTATATATATTCCCCCAGTCTCTAATAGATTAATTTTTTAACCTTTTTAGTCATATTAAGAAACAATAAATATTTATTTATTAATTAATGGGTGAGTTAAAATTATATACTCATTTCACTGAAAAATTAACAATATACACTAGCTATTATTTATTTATGAGTAAAATATATGTATATACTGACCACTACTTACCATGTCATGTGGCAAAAAGCCAACAATAGGAAATTTTCTTCAATTTATAATCTATAAAATTACTCTTTTAAGAACAAACTAGGATTTATCCCGTGGTGCACCACGGATCATTTTTTTATTTTTATTTTCATTAAATTTTAAATTTTTTAGTATAGTTTGTATTTGATTTACTGTTTTTGCATGTTTATGAATGTTTAGAAGTGTTTGTTTTTTGCTTTAATAGTTTTGTATTATTGGAAAATGTATATTGTTAAGAATGCGAAGTTTATGTCAATAAAAATTTCGAAATAGACTAATTAGAAATAACTGCCGAGATTTATGGCAAGTATAAGCGATTACGATCTCTTTCGGCAATAATAAGATAATAAATAATTAGATTAATAGATTATGGAAATTAAATTTAAACACATTTATGTTTTCTAGTTGTAGGATCCGATTACTTAATTCCGGGTTATATAAACTAATTTTGACCCGATCTAAAATTTTCCTTAAAATGATTTTTGATCAAATTGTACTCCAAAAATGTTAAGATAGATGACAACTAAAAACATCAATCTATTTGGAGCATATGAACTAATTAATATGTTGTAATTTGGTTTCTCAAAGTTGGCAATTATATAATTGTGACACGTATTAATAATTTGACAATATGTCATGATTTAATTAAAAAAAAATGTATTATTTATTTCAAATGAATATTTCACAATATGTCATGATTTAATTAAAAAAAATGTATTATTTATTTCAATTTCCATTTCAATCAAATATGTGATGATTTAAATTATTTTTCATATTATTTGTTTTCAATTAGTAATAGGTGAAATCAATATATTTAATTATGTAATTTTACCAGCTATCATAATTGTATAAACTTATAGATTATTTATTTTGATTTCTCTTACATGGAAAAATTATAGTCATAGTGTTTTATGTTTTTCTAATCATTTTTAATACTTTTTTCTTTACCTCAAATATTGCTATATATGTCTTCATGTAAACAAGTTATGGCAATAGAAATCGTGTTCAAAGACCTTACCCCAAATACAATTTTCAAACTTTACTTTACCAAACCTAATTTTCTTATTAACATGAGTCGTCGTTACTCGTTAGGCAAATATTCAATCACTATATGAATCCTAGATGTAAACAATTTGCATTCATACATGTAACATTCATACAATTTGATAATTAAAAAAGGTATATATGTTTCTTTGTGTTATTACTTGTTCTTCTTGGTAACTTCGAACCTATAAATCTAGCTGCTACCTGTAACGAGCACAGTTATTTCACTTGATTATTTTATCTTTTATGTTTTTGTAATTTAATAATTTGGGATCAACCTTCTCTATAAACTATGACTAAAGGGGATGGATCTGCACCCAAGTTGGAATACATGTATAATAATATTATACATAGAATAATAATTCACACCTCTTCCTACCAAAATGTTATTTACCAAATTACACTTATATATTCCTATTTTTTAAAATATTTTTCGTTTAAAATAGTTTATATAAACTAAAAAAGAATTAATTTTATTTACTCTTTTTAATAAAATTTTTAATATTTTACTAGTCAAAAATTAAAATAATTTTAATAAATTAGAATTTTTACAAACAAAAAAGCATTAAAATCTAAAAATATAACTATTATAAAACAAAATTTTAAATTCTAAAACAGCTACTGAATATAAGATGCAATTTTCTAATAGATAAACTGTTTTTTTTTAAAGAATGTCTTTTTGTAAAGAGTACACAGAAAAGAACGTACTAGGTAGGAGGATTTGTTTTACATATATGACATTGATGAATCATTTTTTTTTGTTTAATGCAAGTTTATTTGCTGAATATTTTATCAGGAATCAACTTGAAAATAAATTTCCAAGACTTGTTTTTATAAAAACGAGTTTGACATAAGATAATAGATATATTGCTCACTGGCCACTGCATATCACGACCACTTGATGGATTTTGATTTTTCTTAATAATATTTTGTGTAGATGAGAACCAGTAACGTTGTTTCATTCTTTTGTCAAGACTCAATAGTGTATTAGTGGTTTTGTAAAGAGGGTTTACGTAATTGTATACGTGAGATGATCTATATTATTAAAAATCGTTTTTTCTATATTTTGTCGTAAATTAATATAAGTATATACTTCGTAGTTACATTCCCAAAGCAAAGTAATTTTTCAAACAATAATAGAATAACTCTATAATAGAATATGCTCAATCTTTAATATATTAGAACATAATTCAATGTTTTTACGAGATGTCAAAAAATAAATATATATATATATATATATAATGATATATATAATGTTTTTACGAAGGCTATTTGTACTAGTAGTTTAAACCTTTTTTGTTAATTTTTAATAATACATTTGGGTTTAAAACTGACTTACCAAATACCAACCATTACATGCAACATAGTTTAGGGGAATCATATAGGTTTAGACGAATAGTGTAGTAGTGTCACATGTAATTTTTTGTAGAAAAATAGAGTAACACTGTAACAACAAATAATATTTCATATTTTGGTCTCTTAGGCTAGCTTTACAGGTCTTTGGACTTCTACTCTGCGAAGTAGATACATTGAAAACTTTTTAGTGATAATCTCGATTCTTGAATGTATTAAAATTCGACTAAGAAAATTATCCAAAAAATTCGACTCGAATCAAATACTCAAATAGATTACCCAAAATTATTTATATTTATATCGCGTATCCGATTGGTGAGCTCTAATTGTAACCAGGTTATATGAGATGAGTCATTCATACATGCCTTTAAACCTCACCTGAGAATGAGAATGTGAGACTGATGAAGTTTTTGGAGCTCTCTACATCTAAGAATAATCACACATTGCATACAAATTATGAATGTTGAAGATCAAAAATGGTAAACCTCCTTAATCCTTGTAGTAGACTTTTTTCCATTAGAAACTTTAAAAAACAATTCCACATAAAACAAAACAAAACAAAAAAAAAATCAACTTTGACATTCATGTAGTAGAATAAAAAATTTCACGTCGGAATTGTAAAAAAAATTACATATTTATTAGCAAAAAAAAACATATCTCTCAACGTCAAAGGCCCGGCAATACAACTCCTAATCTCCGCCCGTTACGGTGCAACACACAAAAAAAAAATGATAATTTCAATTTCCTAATTCTTAATTTTCTTAATTATTAATTTATTATCATCACAATAAATAATTATAAACATAATATAATGTTTTTCATTATTATTAAACAACTATATAACCCAAAGTTTAGCCACCATTATAAGCCATTTCCTCTATAACCATTTTACGTTTCTCCTCCGACACACTCCAAAAAAAACTCACAAATCTCTCTGATGTGAATTTGACTATTACTTCTACGTAACTTAGGAATCTTACATCTCTCTATTTTTTTTAGATTTCTTGATTACTTAAAGAATATGGAGAACGAGTTGTTTATGAACACTGAGTTCCCACCACCACCGCCGGAGTTTGAACCACCGTCTTCTTCATCGGCGATGATGCTTAATTGGGCCTTAATGGATCCAACAAACCCACAACAAGATCCTTCCTTCTTATGGGAAAAGTCAACGGAACAACAACAGAGCATCTTTGACTCTGCTTTGAGCTCATTAGTCTCATCACCGACGCCGTCTAACTCAAACTTCTCCGGCGGTTGCGGTGGTGGTGTTGGCGGTGGTGGTGATGGTTTTATAATCAGAGAACTCATTGGTAAGCTTGGAAACATAGGTAATAATCACAATATCTCCGGTGAGATCTACGGAACTACTACTCCGATGTCTAGGTCCGCCTCTTGTTACGCAACTCCGATGAGCTCTCCACCACCACCACCGCCGCCGTCGGCGAGTTCTAATTCTCAGATCATGATGAATAGAACGACGCCGTTGACTGAATTCTCAGCGGATCCGGGTTTTGCGGAGAGAGCTGCGAGATTCTCTTGTTTTGGTAGTCGGAGTTTTAACGGAAGAACCAACTCTCATCTTCCGATTAACAACAACGTCGTCAACAACTCCGGGAAGCTGACACGTGTCTCAAGCACACCGGCTCTTAACGGTCTTGTTTCGCCGGAATTAGCACCGATGATTCCCGGCGGCGAGTTTTCCCGGAAGAGAAAATCTTTGCCTAAAGGAAAACCCAAAGAAAATCCCATTTCCACAGCTTCTCCATCTCCTAGTTTCTCAAAGGTACATAAACATTTTCCCGGAAAGTTTCAATTTTTTTCCCGGAAAGTTTCAAACTTTTTTCCCGAAAAATTTTCTTAACTTTTTTTTTCCCGGAAAGTTTTAAGCTTTTTCAAATTTTGGAAGACCCGCTTTTTTGTTAACTTCGATATTCGAAGAACCCAATTCTTAGAAAAGTCAGCTTTTTTATAAAGTGATTAACTTTATTGTGTTTTTTTAAAAAATTTCTTAGACGGCGGAGAAGAAAGAAGATTGGAGTGGAAAAGGAAGTAAAAGTTTAGAAGAAAAAGTAGGAAAAAGGAGAAGAGATGAAGAAGAAGATAATGTAGATGAAGAAGGAGGAGAAGGGAACAAAAACAATAACACTAAACCACCTGAGCCTCCTAAAGATTACATCCATGTTCGTGCTCGTCGAGGCCAAGCCACCGATAGCCATAGCCTCGCGGAACGAGTAATTTTATTACACTTCTCCTATAACAATATGTAGTCAAATTGGTTCAACTCGGAAGTCGGAACCAAAGTTTCGGGATAGTTGCCTTAGAAATTTATTTAAAAAATCGCTAGGCGCTAGTTGAACAGTCAGAAAGGACCTAATGACCGAATCGGTCTAGAAAAAATTAGTGTTTGTTACTTAAATGGCTAGTTCGAATTGATCTAGATGTGTTAATTGTATATTTGAGATGAGATTAGAGTTTGTGTTTGATTTGTTCTTTAATGTTATGGTTTTAGGTTAGGAGGGAGAAGATTGGTGAAAGGATGAAGCTTCTTCAAGATCTTGTCCCTGGATGCAATAAGGTAAGACTTTTTTTTTTATTAAGTCTTTGATTAATCACTGATTAGTTTTTGGTTATGATTTATGAACTATCAATTAATTGTTGATTAGTGATATAATTAGAAAATGAATGTCTTTGTTTATACGATGAAAGGTTACTGGAAAAGCACTGATGCTTGATGAAATTATAAACTACGTACAATCATTGCAAAGACAAGTTGAGGTATTATTACTATTATTATTATTATTATTTCATTCATTAATCACCGAATTTTAATTATTTATTTGGAATCAATTTCTTAATTAATTTTTGTGTTTTTGGTTTTGGTTTAATAATGACAGTTCTTGTCAATGAAGTTATCATCAGTGAACGACACCAGGCTGGAGTTTAACGTGGATGCTCTTGTGTCAAAGGATGTTGTTGTAAGTGATCGTTCACCTTAAAAACCATTAACATCAATTTAACCAACCATTGATAATGATTAATTTTTGTGATTAATCATTATCAATTGCTTTTTTGTTTTTTGTCGTCTCACTCATTATCTTAAATTTATTTTTAATCAATCGACAAATTAGCATTTAATCAGGCAGCTTTTTGATTTTTCTTTTTATAAAGTACCTTTAAATTTTTTATTAAATAATATGCAATCTTTTTTACATGTTTTGTTTCATATAAATTATTCAGATGATTCCATCAAGTAACAACAACAATAGATTGCATGAAGAAGGACTCCAATCAAAATCTTCAAGTCATCATCATCATCATCATCATCAACAACAACAACTTAATAATATTTACAATAATAATTCACAATTACATCCTAATAACATGATGCTTCAATCTCCTATGAACTCTTTGGAAACCTCTAGCTTAGCAAGAAGCTTCACTCACTTACCAACACTTACCCAATTCACTGACTCAATTTCACAGGTTTAAATTCAACTTTTTCATGATTTTTCTTCATTGATTCTATTTTTGTACAATCAGAAGATTATAACATATATATTTGTGTGTGTTTTTGTTTTTCAGTATCAAATGTTTAGCGAAGAAGATTTACAAAGCATTGTAGGAATGGGAGTGGCACAACCCAACAATGAATCTCAACACATGAAACTTGAGATTTGATCAACCAAATAATAAGGATTGATGGGTGTACATAACCATACCAATATATGTGATTTATTCATATACTCATCTCCATTTCTATATATATATACACATTTATGAAAGTAACTTTTATTTTATTTTATTTTACCTTTTGTTAATTATATTATATATGTCATCTTCCAATTCATTATTAGGGTTCAATTGTACTGTTATACACTTAGGATTCCTTTTGCTTTTCTAATGTAATATCATTGTAAGTTTGTTACCTTCCACTACAATCCAAGTTGATTAATCTACTCCAAATTAGGCTTAACAAAAAGACAACTTTTTATATTTATTTGATTATAATATAATTATAGATACACCATCATTTTTAAAATGTATTGTAAAATTGTGAATAACCCATACTTCTATAAAAAATTATAAAGAGTGCTTTTATTATCAAATATTTTTAATGAACAGTAAAAAAATTATATACACGCACGTTATTTTCTATTTTTGATTATTCATTGTTTATTTTGGTGATACTAACTTTAATTTGGATCTTACCGTATAACCTTTATACACTAGATAAAATAATGTCTTGTTTTTTGTTTTCAAACTGGATTTTTGGCTTAAATTATATATCAAAAAATAATAATTTTATAAATTAAAAATATCATAATCCCGATATTATTAATTTATAGAATTTTTTATATTAATTAGTATTTTCTTGGTAAATTAATATCGATTGTTCTAGTTGACAACAAATAATATGCAATCATCTTATCTTAATCTAATTATTTTACATCATACACTTTAGGACAAAGAACTTTCCGACAAATATCATTAGACAGAAAGTAACCTTTAGATAATTAATCAAACTTGTAATGATGGACTATAATCTAATTTATCAAAAATTACGAAACTTTGATTATTAGTTTTTTAAAATTGTTTACTTGCTGATAAGTCAACATCACCTTCATTCCTAGATTCTTTTCGATTTGATATTTGGTAACGTTAACCAGCTGTGGTGAAGGTGTTATGTCTTTATCTCTGTTGTCGTTGAAGTTTGATAGTTGTGATTTCTCAAATTTAATGTCATGCTTGTAATATTTTCTAGAGATCTACCGAGAAAACGCGGAATCTTATGTTCCTCTCATGTTTGATTTGACTGGTTTAATCCAGTAATCAAACCAAATAGCTTTCTTTAATTATATTAATAACTTCATTAATTTAGTGATATATTTCCGTAGCTTAGATTATACATTTCATCCCTAGGTCACTAGGTGTCTAGGTCGATTAGTTCATCATGTATGTACTAGATTACTAGTATAAATTTAGGGATCAGATTAGTATAAATTTATCGTATAATTGTGTCGGAATCACGATTAATTTATAGTTTTTTTGGAATTAGTCACCGAATAGTCATAAAATTTTACACAATAAGCTTATATAAATCGAAGTTATATATACGGTCATAAAAATCATTGAAATATATTGGATTGTGTTTGTATTTACACAACTTATTTGACTCTTTTCGTAATCTATACTATTAAAAGGGGAGCATTTTTTAAAGGTGTATCCAAACAGATTAAATAGAAAAAATGAAATAAAATGTAATCCTAAACCTATAGCCAAACAAAATTAATGACAGATTTTCAAATGAAAAAATATGCTTTAAAATAAATAAAAAATCAAACTAATAACTAACCAATATTCATGGAAATCATAATAAATTTGTTACCATAAAATGTGGCCTATTAAATTCGAATTTTTTTAAAGATTATATAATGTTTTAAACATTTATTTTACCTAATTTAAACTAATACAATTCAAAACATTTTAATTTCAAAAAATTGGAAACTTTTAAAATAAATTGATATGTATAGTATTTTAAATTGTGTATATGTAAGCAGATTAAATTAGGTAAATAAACGTTTAAAATAAATTAGGTCCAAGGAAAGATTATAATACTATAAATATCTAAATTCTATAGAAGTTTAGGTATTATTAATATTTACTCTTTTAAAAGGTTTTAAAATATTATAAATATTTAAACTACATGTAAAGTTGAAAATATTAGAAATATTTAAACTCAATTAAAATATTTTAAGTTTAAGCATTATTAAATTATATATTAAAATTTTCAAATATCTTGAAGACAGCAAAATATATTTTCAATTGAATTAAATATGCTTTAAAATGTATATAAGAAAATCAAAACTAATAACTAACTCAAATTCATGGAAATCAT